TAGGGCTGCCCTTTGCGATATTAAAAAAATGAACTTTGGGATTAAAATACAATCTTATTGGTATATAAGAAATATTAACAGAAAAATAACAAAGCTCAAATCGAGAAAGCTCTTAAATAGACCCAACAGCAAAACTTTGAAATGTACCTACTTCTAAAAAACAACCAAAGAAAAAAAAAACTACACAATTGAACCACCCTCGTTTCGCTTCAGTGTAGATTATAGTTTTTGTTCTCGATTATAATGCATGCACAATTGCTTATTTGCTGATAATGCAAAATTAAAGAAAAAACGAATTTACTTTAAAAGACAGACATTTATGACTTTATAGAACTTTTAAATAGGACCAATTCCCCAATGCTTAATTTTTGCGCACTCAGCGGAAGCTCTAAATGAAATATTTTTTAGCAACATTTTTCATTTGTACTCAACTCCTATTAGTATCAGTGGTACGCATTCGTAACGACCTTTTACGCTCACGTGTCATACAACACTTTTCAATGTATTTGGCGATGAAATAAAAAGAAAATAACCTATTTATTTAAATTTCATACTAAACCTACTAAACTCATATCTGTCGTGTAATTTAAAAATGGAACTATCTTTTACTCTGAAACATGGGAAAACAAAACAAAGCGAAACCAAGGAGGTTACTTATGAAAGGTTTTATTTAAATTTCGACCTGATCTGCAAATAGAAAGCGGTTAATGAAAAAAAATACAAATGAACATAATGCTGGGTGGCGCTAGGACGTGGCGCAAAGCTTTAAAATAAAACAAAAGACTTTTTCGGACACGTGCGGAAAAGTGCCACTTTCCGCATTTCCGTATACTTCTAAAAGAACACTTTCCGAGCAAGTGCATTGAAAAAGGTATTTCTTAAATCCAACTAGTAGTTCCTGAGGTTGCGCGTTCAACCAAATAAAGAAATTCATGTTTTTGAGATTATAGGGAACGTACAAACACACGTGGTACCTAATATAGGTACCTAATTCCGTTCTCTAATTCACCACGTGGATAACTGGGAATTCCCCGGCAGAGGTAGGTATCTAGGTTTCTTTACCACAGGAAGTAAATCTTTACACGTGGAAGAAACATTACACTTAGGTGCACATTAAAGTCGTTGAAAAAAATAGTAAGCTTTAATAAAAGAAGTTAATATTTTCGCCTGTTATATTTATCCATACCAAGTTTTTTATAAGGGTCATATCGAAAAAGTTTGATTAATTATAATTTTTTCTATTAACCCTTATATCATTATAATCGAAATCAACAATGATATATAAGACATGAATAATCAGCGGCTATAAGTATTTAGTCATCCACTATGACTAGTGGCTGGCCGGGCTGGTACTATCACATGAGTAAATTAGGCACAGAGCGAAAGCTTAATGCAATGCGCGCGTCTGAGTGAGCACTGGTGCCTTGTGGCGTACGCAAACAAACGTTTCTATAAGGTATTTGACTGTATTAAAAATAAAGTACCAATAGTAGGCATCTGTGTTTAAAAGGAATATTGGCAGCGATTTTTATTTGTTTTATAGGAAAAATATTGTAAATTTTATTCAAAAATCACCACAATCACAAGATAAAACCGATAACGCCTGAGATTGGCGGAGCCTAAAATGACGTCACATACACGTAAACTTCCCGTTTAAGTGACATTACTTTTACTATTTCACGTGTAGACGCCAGACGTGTGACGTCACAGGTAAACCTCCTTTGAAAACATAATTTTCAATTTTGTTTTTTAATTATACAAACAGATGAAGAATAACCATGGATGAATATGGAGTCCTTATACAAGAGTGAACAAGGTAAGATCATTTTCAATGTGAAATACCCTAAGCGGTGACAGACCACCAGTGCATACTCACACATGAGCACTATATAAACCATAATCTCTGTTGTGATTTCTACCAACTGAACTAGATTTGTATGTATATATATATATTTTATTTCTATTTAAATATTCTTTTATCTAATACTAGCTTAAAACAAAAAAAATGTATACTAGAACAATGAACCTAAAACTAAAAACCTTAAAAAATAAAATGTAATAACTAAAATACATTATTAAAAGGAGTCCCTTTAGGCAAGGTTATATATATATATATATATATTTATATAAAGATAATGTATTTTCCCCTGTGCCATCTTTACTCATGGCTGGTGCTGGTACTATACTAGGTACTTGTGGTATCTGCGATTGTCAAGGCGGACGTACGTTACTAACCAGATGCCCGTGCGCGGTAGGTCCTCCCATCACAAAACACGCACTTAACTCTCAAACTATTTGATTTACCCACTATTGTTAGACTATTATCAAGGAAGAGATAAAGTAACAGGACTAACATTATAGCTATTAGCGGGATTGTTACCATGTACCTAGTTTATTATGAGTCTCCGATATTTCGGCACTGTTGCAAGTGCCATTTAGTGACTCCGTGAGCATGGCGCTTGCAACAGTGCCGAAATATCGGAGTCTCATAATAAACAAGGTACCTACATGGTAACAATCCCGTTAATAGCTATAAAGTAACAGGAATTCGGACGTTGTAGTAAGCTACTGCTAATGGAGGGTATTTCAATAAAACTCAAGAAAATGTTACTTAGAAACAACTCTACTCGGTCAGGTAGTTAGGTATCAGATTGGAAAAAATTTCTTCAAACACTTTTTAAAAAATCTATTCAGTTTATTGCTTTAAATAAAAATTAAGCTAATCTTAAATTCCTTTTCTATTATTGAAAAAAAATATGGGTGTTTAGTACGTGTACGTATAAGTTCTCCCATAAAATCGCACACCTATGAAAGTATTTTCATTCTTGCTTTTTTATTAAAATATACTTCTAATATAAAGTTAAGAAGAAATACTTAATCCAAAAATTATGAATGAATCAAATCAAATATGAACATCAAATTTAATATGAATCAAAGAATGAGTAAAGGAAATCTTTCTTTTGTGCTGTAATTATAAAAAAAAGATACGAGTGACTAATAAAATTCTGTTTATATTTTGAACATAAGAAAATAACAAAACCTATTAGATATTAATGAAGTGTAACATCGCGATTTGCAGATATCATCATAAAGTATTAGATATATTTCGTAACAAAATTCCACTGAATTTCATTACTAGAAATCATTCAAATAAATAAACAAGGAAACGAAGCCGCGGTTCGCCGAAGCAGTTAGTAATTATTCCGCTCATATTGCTTCCCGGGCAGTATACTAATCCGTTAGAAATCGATCGACTTTTAGTGCCGTGTCAGTGTTCGAAAAAGCATAATTTATTGTCAGACGTTCAGATCACGAGGAAACCTGAACGCGTTAGAAAATAAAAAACGGTAATAAAATAAGAGATGTTTACGAGCGTAAAATGACGTACGGGCCTGCCACTCGATTTGACTGTTTACAAGTTTTAACAGTGCGCCCGCGCATGCTCACAGCCGCGCGTAAAGGGTTGCTCGTAATTTATTTTCTTTATTACAGTCGTCACTTGATGGCTTTGGTTACCTTGTAATTATCGAGCGCGCGCCGAAAGCTAAACCAATTTGAGTAGAGCCGATGCCGCCGGGCTCAAGTGCGCATTTCATATTGTTTATGTCAACATTAGCTTTTTGTTCGATTCCGGGTCTAAGGTAGCTATTTATAGCTTTGCTCAAAGGTCACTCGACTCCTATGTCTACGAGCTTAGGTATGAAATGAAATATTATTTCAGCCTACAGTTGTTTGTGTGTTATCGTATAAGTATTTGATCACTCGAAGAACTGTTTTTTTTTCAGTGTTCGACAGTTTAGAATAACATCAATTTGTCATAATAATTATTATATAGTAATACTAGCTGACCCAGCGAACTTCGTACCGCCATAAAAAAAAAATTAAAAAAACATTGTCCAGCGGACAAAATTGTGAATCTAAACCATTCTCAGATCCCCTTGAACACACACAAAAAATTTCATCAAAATCGGTCCAGTCGTTTAAGAGAAGTTCAGTGACATACACACTCACAGAAGAATTATATATATAAAGATATATATAGTATTATCAAACTATTATCAAATTGCTGTTATTCTAAACTGACGAGCTAAACTAAACGACTTCAAAGTTCCCGAGTTGATATCATGACGTATTCAATATTTCTGATTTTTCCAGTTTTTATTTGTAGTCATCTTAATCGTTATCATGTCAACCGTACCGTTCGCCTACGCTACATGTTGAGCATAGTATATAGCCATCTCCCAAGTTTCTCGACACGGATCAGTCCTATGCTTCGGGTGGCAATCCGCGACCTAAAGTTTTTTTAAGTAACCGTAGTCAACAAGGAACTTTAAGTTTCACGATGTCCGTCCAACCACCTACAAATGGTATTTGAGTGATATGAATAATACACGGCATAACTATTCAAAGCTCATTCCTCGTTTAATAGTAAGGCTATAATTATGTTCTACTATGAGGAGCTCGATGGCGCAAGTGGTTAGCGCGTTCGGCTGCGATCGTTGCAGTTAAGCAACTTTCGCAGTGGTCGGTCATTGAATGGGTGACCAAAAATTTACTGTCTCGAGCTCCTCCGTGCTGCGGAAGGCACGTTAAGTTGGTTCCAGCTACATCTGCAGTCGTTAGCGCCCGCCAATCCGCACTGGGCCCGCGTGGTGGGTCATGGCCCAATCTCCCTATTCTATCCATAGGGAAGGCCTGTGCCCCAGCAGTGGGGACATTAATAGGCTGATGATGATGAAATTATCCCAACTTTGTGCCACCTTTTTTTTTTTTTTTTTAATGTCTAGAAAATGCAGTACGAAAATGCCACCTAATCAATATACTAAGAATAAGCTTGGATTAGTAACTCCATGTTTTGACCCTGTTCTATTTCTCTAAAATTCTAAAATGGTATTTGAATGATATGAACAATACACAGCGTAACTATTCTAAGTTTTTTCCTCTTTTAAGAGGATAATTTATGTTCTACTATTTTTTAATACTCCTCTTATTTTTTCCAGGGGTGGTGGGTGTATACGACGGGCTCATGTCAAACGCCCCATGAACGCGTTCATGGTGTTCGCGCAGGCGATGCGCAGGCGTCTCTCCGAACAACGTCCGGCGCTGCATAACGCAGAACTCAGCAAGTCACTGGGAACTATGTGGAAGTAAGTTTGTCCTTCATCATCAATATCATATCAATCTTCTTGTTATGCTTCACGATGGGTATTTTCTGCAACTTAACACTTGATGCTATCATATCAGCCGCATGTCACGCCCACTGCTGAACATAAGCCTTCCTCAATGATATTGATATCTATGCCAATGTGTCCTGCGTCACTCACCTCCATCATCATTGATGCATGCAGATACAAAAATTGTCTGAATGACCTGTAAACCGAACCTTAGTAAGAAAGGTAGTCCAGTCAATGCACGGAAAAAACGGAAAAATCCGGCAATTTTTGCCAAACATTAACACCAAAATTTGGATTGGTCTTCTACTTACTAGGTTGCTATTTCCCTCGACGCGGTGAAGTCCCACAATGGGGATCTCGAGGTTTCGTACTTAACAGCGTAGAGGGTATTCGCAGGGTTTTTTAGTGGATAGTATGCCGTAAGCGCTCGAAAGCCGCACGGACTGCTTAACGGCTCCTCCGTTTCGCACCCGTGAGACTTGCAAGAGGCTAGGTGTGAGGTCCGTTCGTTGGTGTGCCCCGTAAGGGCGCCAACGTCTGTAAATAGAGGTTTTGCCTGCGTAGAAAAAAAGGGTTGACACCACCCCTTCTCGGGGTGATTTTTTTATGAATAAAAAGTATGTGAATAGAGAGACTGATTAGTTTAAAGCAACTTTTGTTCTTAAAAGTTTTTACTGAAAGTCAATACTTTTAGATTTATTCGAGAGACAACTTCGTTAATTTTACAAACAAAAATTTTGGTACTGATCTAGTACATTTTTTTTTATATTATGTTAAGCATTAAAAGGTAAGTAATATAAGATTAAAAGTATTTTTCAGCTAGTGGTGAAACTCAAATAATAGCATAAATCCTTTAACGTATAAAAAACGTAGCGTTCAGCGTATAAAGGAACGTAGTTTGCTATTATGTATATTCAAAACAATCGATTCAACTAATCATTAGTTGAATGTTTTATTAAAGTACTGTTTCAATTGCTCAAATAACAAATGTTTCTAACGTTAATAAATTGTAAGAAAGAAACCACGTATGTATAAATTGGAGTTTTTGAACTCCAAATCTTAGACAAAGTATTAATAATCACCCTAATATTATAAAGGCGAAAGTTTGTGAGTGTGTATGTATGTTACTACTTCATGTCTAAACGGCTGGAGCGATTTTAATAAAATTTGGTATGGAATGAGCTGACACCCTGGATTAACATAGGCTACGTTTTACTGTGGGCAAATATTCCTAACAAAGCGCGGGGCACAGAAATATAAAATCGGCTACCTATTCGATTTTTAAACTGGTCACGTAACTAACGTCACTTGACAACTTAGAATGTCAGTGTTTTTTTTGTTCTGTGGCTGTTTCTGTTTTACACAGAAAAATGACAGTGTTTGTCAGTGTTGAATCGTTATGACATTGGCAATAGGCTAGTTGACTCATGTCGAATTTTATTAAATAAAGGTTTATTTCTTAAAGAATTTGGTCTAAGGAACCTAAATATATCAATTTCATTTCATAAAAGCAGAAGATTGCTGTAGAAATTTAATTCAAAAAAATAATTTTTAGTCTATACTTTTTAAACACTAAAAACGCTGTTCGCCACATCCGCCATGATTGTGACGTCTCTTTTAGTAAACAACTAAATGTCATTGATACATAACTTTAAAACTTGTATTATTAAAACTGATAATAAATGAAGAGACTTAAAATATTATTCAATGATAACTTACATCAAAGTGATCTTCGCAAAAATTAATTTTACTATGAGTCGATTAAGTTGCAGTTTTAACCAGGTATTGAGTAGATTAATTTCTTTCGGCACTTTAATCCACAACTTTCCTGGAGTCTTCAAGGGTGTGTTTTTACATTCTCGTACAATACAATAATGATAATTACTATATTTTTCGTGGTAAGTATTTATTAGAAATCATGTTTTTTTTATTATAAAGATAGGTTATTTTCTACGTGCTTACGAGTTTTTGTTTACTACCGTCGACATCATAACATAGATAATCTATAGACTAAAATGGCTGACAGCGTTTTTGTAGGTCCATGAAAAGTCTATTTTAAAATTAAAGATTTGTAGCTTTCTAGGTCTCAAAAAAATACAATAATTTTTTTTTTCGGTCTAATAGAACATTTATTAACCATTTAAAACCTTTTTCCAAAAAGGGTCAACTAGCCTATTGCAATTGTCATTTCGTTTGCGACGCGAATATTTTTTGGTTTACCGATGCTGTCTTAAATTTTGTGATTTGTGCTATTTTTCTACGATTTCGTTATAGACGACTAGATTTTCGATAAAAGACGACACTGATTTTTGCTTGTTTTATTGACGCTGTTACTAGCAATGGCGTGACTACCTATGTTCATCTTAATAAATTGATGGTAAATATCACCATAATATAAAGTGACTGTATTCTTAATTATTAATGAAAAAGTGAAGGTGGGTTTCGCTAACGAATATCTCTTTAAGTTGCTCCAGCCACATTTTTAACGACATACTTGTGACAGAACACAGAACACATAAAAAAGGAAGAAATGAATGAATTGTTTCGTTTTATTCGCCCTCAGCAAATTTTTATAAAAAAATCTGATGAATTATTAACAATATAAACAGCCACTCTCCATCTGGTCTTATGTTGATTGTAGGTATGTATGTGTATATGTGTCAACATAGTAGCGTGCTTGCTATTATTGCATATTTTTGTCTGCTATGTTTTTGTAGACATTTAGTTGTTCCAAATTAGTTAAAAAATGATGTTCATTATGTAGATTACATCCTTTTTATACTAAAAATAATTTTTATTTTTAATTAAATTCAAATCGAATTATTTATTTAACCCAATAAGCTATCGAATTAAGTTAAAGACTGGCAGTATACATTAACAATAAGCTTTACAAAGGTATACTTTTGCTCCTATACAAAGAACTTGGTATATGTACCAACATCCCATACAAAGTGGTTGTTCTCCTTTATGCATAAACTTGGCACGCGGACGCAGTCGCGGGCAGAAAACAACTAAATGAAATTAAGTTTTACGTATTATTCTATCGTTAACATTAATTAACTTTTAAGTTAATTTAATATTAACTTCTGGATTAGTGTTATAAACGATATATAAAATCACAAATATTTGTTAACAAAACATTCCTTCTTTATGTCCTTGCTCCTTAACAGTAAAGTGCAACACTATCCTTGTTGAAGTGAAATATTACTTAGTTCACAAATATCGGAACGGCTCGGCTGGCGGCATAGGTATATTTTTATACGTGTACCTACCTAATCTGTGAGCAAATCTCTCAATCATGATGAGACGATGTAAAGCTTGCCAGATATGACTGTGAAAGTAAGGGGGGAAAGTGGGGGAAGGGGAGGGGATGAGATGCGCGTGCGGCGCCCAGTGGAGCGTCGTGCATCGATTGTTTACTCATTAAAACGCTATCGCCGCTAACCTGACTGATCGATAGTATCTATCTAACTGTCTCGAAACTAATTCCCAGAGCGGTCGAATAGAAAATTGTGAACTAAATAATCGCTACATGCCAACTGATGACAATCAGTTCGACCAAAGTGGGTATATCGGTGGTCGGAGTTTACTTAATAAAATCTTATCTCTATAGTTTTATTTTGGTCCAGTTCTGACTTAATTTTGCAAAGTAGATCAAGATGAACATTCAAAGCGAAGATAAAAATAAGTACTTCTTACATCAACCTTAAATATAAGTTGGTTTAAATTATCAATATTTCTTAGTTATGTACTCAGCTGCGAAGGAAACAGAAAAAATAATACACTTAAGTAGATTGTTAGATATAAATAGTTCAACTTTATTTGCCTGTTTATCCTCGTTCCCTTTAAGAATTTAAAATCAAAACGCCTAGAAAACTTTTCAAATTGCAGAAAACCAGCGAAGGATGACATGCAGCTGTGTAACATGTAATACGTCATCGTGCCGTTCGAAAAGAAATGCATTTCACGACACTTGATTCTTGTAACTATTAAGTCGTTCTCAAACTGTACTTTTGCGTCATGTTCTAGATGCACTTCAGCGGGAATAAAATAGGGAATAATTTTAGGCGCCCACCCGCGTACTCGATAGTTTGTTATGACACAAGAATGACACAGCTATGCGGGCCAAACTCTTGAATCATCTAAGAAAACAGCCGTTGAACTGAGCTCTGATTGCCGGTCTCTGCGCATCAGTTCGCTCACTTCACCGACTGTCATCGCAGTCTCGATCATGTAGATTAGCAAGGTTAACCTCCTTAGATGCTCGGATGATAACGCTTCAATTAAAATCTTTAGCCGCCGAAAAAGTTTTCCATACCAGCGATTTACATGGCAAAAGCACAACGCATGCACAATTGCACACTGTCCGGCCAATTACTTATATATTTTAGTGTTTTTTATTTTATTGGATAGAGTATACCTCACAGTTATCTTGGTCCCAGAAAAATATGGAAACAAAATTCCTATCCTAAGGGTGGGAAAATACAGGTGATTGTTCATTTTGATGCCGACTTGTATATTATAAAATTCCACAAAAAATTATATTAGAAAGATAGTCTTCAAAACCCCGAAGTAATTATAAAGGACCTATTCAACGATATTCCACGCTTTGGGGTAGATGATGAAAAAAAAACATCCCCTGGTAAGTAATGTCGGAGAGTTACCCTAAAAAAATATTTTTCAAATTTTTATTCTATAATTTTTTTGGCGTGGTTGATATTCATATCTCCACAAAATTACAGCTTTCTAGTGCTAATAGTCTTCAAATAAAATCGGGGACGGACAGACGGACATGACGAAACTATAAGGGTTCCTTGTCAGGACTATGGAACCCTAAAAAGGTTGATTTATTTTTTGCTTCACAGTTTATTCGGCGGTTGAATTTTCTTGTTAAAAAGTTGTTATATCCTGGTATTGCAATCAATTTTTAGAGGGTATGTAGGTAGGTATAATAGTGCTGTTTCAATACATTATTACATTTTAGGTAATATTAATTAGTTATATATTTAATTTTATAACCTACTTCACTGATTTGAAGGTCAGATTGGCAAAAATCTTCATGTTCCAGACAGACGAATACAAGAATCATAAATAGAACTAATTAAAACAGTGACTGAGGACTAGCCAGACGCTCGCTACGGTCACGGCACATCTTTTAAAATTATCAGATCCGACATTAAGGAGACAAAACAAAACTAAAATCGAAATAATTATACACCGTTATTGAAGGAATTTACGAATGCCCATTTGCTTGGAACTACAATTATCAAGGTATAACTCTAAAATATAACATTTCCGGGCGAATGCTGTAAAAAAGTATATGTACTAAGTAACATTGTTTTCTTGTATACCTAAGAATTATATATTACATAAGAACCTTTTTGCCAAGATATTTCTATATAGTACTTAAAATTTCTTTTACACATACTCGTATATGTAGATTTCTGCTATTGTTAACATATTTATCCTTCTTTGTACCACGCGTGCATCCAACAGAATATGGTATCTTGTTTGTAGTATATCTTTTTTGTAGTATTCTCTGAATATTATACTGTTATAGGAACCAGTAAATCTTTATAATAATATACTTTTAATACGGAATAAGTACATTCACATCATGCTTAAAAATTATTCAAGGATTAAGTAAAAATTATAACAAAAAATATTGACTGAAAATACTGAAAAAACTACAATTTACCTGCAAATATTGGTGTGTGTTTATTTTTTTACTTGAGGAATTCGAAATACACTTTAAAATGAAAAAATAAAATGAAATACCAATGATGACACATCGGAAATAGTCTGGACGATGCTATCTCCAATGCTGGCGCTTCGCCTAGACAGAGCGGCCTAAAAATCAGAGAATTCCATGCAAAGTTCTTTATTTATATCACCACAAAAGTCAATATACGACAATCTCAGAATACGTGCTAATCCAAGACATTATACCTACATATTAGGTTTTTAGGTATCGCAGTCTTCTTTTATACCAATTTTTATACTTATTAAGCACACACACACACACACTCCTTTGAGTTAACAATTCAAAACAAATTTTAATTTTATTAGAAAATGCTCAAAACACCTTTTTTTTTGAGGTTTTGTAGCTATCCCATGTAATTGCAAATTGTTTCAAATTTAATGTGTGTTTTGGTTGGTCGATAAAGTACCAAACGAACTCTCCTGAGAATAATTTTAAATCGGCAGCGCCTCTACTTTGTAGCAATAAGAACTATATCGAAATCTGCTACATTGCTTTATCTGCGTAATGAATACACCATACATATTAGCAGTCGTAGTGGTAAAACGTACACGACCACCACATCACCTACACTTAACATCAAGGGGAAAGTAGATTCATAAAAGTATTTGCCGCGTTCGTCGATGTTTACGCTAAACACTAACAATTAAAAATGTTGTCAACAGAGGCCTCACTGAAGAACAGAAGCAGCCCTTCATCAAAGAGGCGGACAGACTTCGGACTTTGCACAAGCGAGAGTACCCCGACTACAAGTACCAGCCGCGGCGCCGTAAGCCACCGCCGGCGACGAACACAAGGTTGAAACGCGAGCCTTCCCCTGACAGAGACCAGATAGACTTCTCCGGAATGCCGGAGTTGTCGCCAGCGCTGTTGCCCGACGGGCCGCCAGAGAGCACGGAACTAGACCAGTACTTAAAGCCAGACTACCACGAACTACAACCGCGGTACACCCACAGCCTGACACACCATCCGCCGCCGCCCCTGTATGCCCCAGTCCCGCCACATCTACACCCTTCTTGCACCGATTGGCAACACTACACGGGGCATCCATAATGTAAATTATAAGTAATACATTATGTATAATGTTCATTGAAACTTAAGAAAGTAACGTACATAATTTTTAATTAAAAATAGAGATACAACATCAAAGTTTCATAGATTCGGGTATTGGTGTCCCATAGACTCATTTTAGGTTTTGTTTAAAAAAGCAAAGCTCATAATGTTAAGATTTTATGTCCTGCCTTAATCATATTTCTTTCTGATGCGGTAGGTATATTTTTTTGTAGCTGTTAAAAATAGGTCATATTGATATTTTGTAAATAGAATATCGCCATACGGCCGCCGGCAAGTCCGCACGTGTCTCTAATCACAGACAAACGTTTGCAGAGCAAATAATATTATTAACAATCAGTTGTACATTAGATTTATCTTTGGATAATATGAGCTCGTCAAGTTATGTTGTAGACTTGTAGAGGCCTGCTAGCACAAAATCTAATTGTAATCAAAATCTGAAAGGAATTGCAAGAAGCTTTAGGCAGTTTGGTAACACAGCCCAACTTTTGATTCTATTGTCCTGAAGAGATGGTATATTTATTAAAATACCTACTATATTCTTAATGTTATTTCGTGACTTTATTATTATTATTACTTCTAAGTCAGTACGTCGGTAGAGTTTGAGTGTGCATTCTTATAAATTTGTGTTTAATACTATTCATCACTTTTTTTTAATTATTACGATAATATAAATTGTCTTACATCAATGTAATGAGAAATCTCCCTTTTTATCGCTCGATAATCGAACCAAAACCAGTAAGAATACTGAATCAAGATTTTAGTTAAATATTCAAGCAATTTACTGCTAAAATAATCTATAATAAGAACTGTAAAAGTTAAGATGAAAATATTTCTAGAATTAACAAGTGACGAATGCTTTTGGTAGTTTCATTTTATTTACAAACATTTTCGAAAAAAGTGTAATATATCAATTATGTGAAAACGTTAACTTTATTGTTACTACACAGGCGCAGTGACACTATTCCTAATATACTTATACTTTAATTTTTCATACGTGAGTTATGTATAGTTACATTTTTGATTTTGCATTGATTATAGGTATCATACCTAATTAATAGAGAATATTTCTTTTACCACTTCTTATGGTCCGTACTCACATACTACGGTATCACCGATAGTTAATAAAATTAACTAAAACGTGTACAAACCGCTGCGTTCTACCTTCGAGTTGAGAATTTTGATTTTTGCATTCGACGTTAATTTTTACTCGCTTTGGAGTAAAACTATCGAGTTATACCTTAGCCCCTTTATTAATAAACGCAGAATAATCTTGGATTACTTAATCCATGTTTTGTCTCTGTTCGTTGAATGACAAATGGCATTTAAGTGACATGAACAGAAACCGGCGTAACTAGTCTTAAGCTTATTCCTTGTTTAATAAATTTAAGGGGGTAGGTGAGTATTGAGTACGGACAATTGCATCACTCATATATATGTACAGATAGCCTGTTTGCAAATTTGAAGTCTGATATTATATAAAATTATAATCTGTAGTTTAACTCCTTAATAATAATTAAATATAAAATTCCTCAGGTTCCAAAGTTAGTTAAGAAATCTTAAAAATGGATAGGTTTTTAAATAATTATAGTTACTAAGTGGGGCTTAACTTAGATCTTAAACAATTAAACTATGTTTTTTAAAATTTCATTGTGATTAATGTTAATTTAAAATAATGTTATTTGTTATTAAGTATTTAATTCTTTAGAATTTTAAAGTAGTTTTCCACATTTCTATGATGACAATGTAAATATTTATATTATTATTAATATAAGCTTCTTCAACTCAAAATGGTTGATAAAATGTTTTGTTGACTCAATTATTTGCTATCATATATAAAATAAAGTTTATTCAAAAATATCTTTGTTTTATTATTACAGGTTCGATCAAACACTAATTGAAACTTATGCTTATTATAATAATTACGCTTATTTAGGAATTAATAGATACATCTGTTTAAAATCTTTCATTAACGACGAAATAATTCAACGTGTTTTGAGAATTGTTTTAATTACCTTCTATTTTTATCCAAAAAATAATGTTATTGAACTTTTTAGGGTGCCGTAGTCCTGACAAGGAACCTTTATAGTTTCGTCATGTTCGTCTGTCCGTCCCCGGTTTTGCTTAGAGACTATAAGCACTACAGAGCTGTAATTTTGTGGAGATATGTAGGTAGGTATATCAATCTCGCCGACAAAATGGTAGATTTTTTTTTAAATATGCCCGTCATGTAACCTTAGGATGTTTTTTTTCATCATCTGCCCCACCGTGTGGGTTATCGTTGAATAGGTTCTTTAAAATAACTTCGGGGTTCCAAAGACTATTTTTCGATTAAGGATTCCGTTTGCGAAATATTGAACTTTAAAGTACTAATTTTTGTTCGAGTAGGGCGTCCCCTCTCCTCCAAAAGCTAAACTATTGGCTTGAAAAGCCTGGAAAAATTAGAATAATAGTGCTTTTTATGAACTTTTAAGGAACACTTTAACGGTTACGATATTTTTGTTAGTTTAAAAGTAAGAGTCGTTCAACTTTGTTTAAAGAAAATTTCAAACCTATTGAAAATTTCTTAGAAGAAAACATTAATAGTGACATAAATAAAATTATTGTAGCGTAAAACCTTGCATTGCAACAAAATCTAAAAAAATCTAATTAAAAACCATAAAAATGTCATTAGTTCTACAACGCTACCGTAATTACTAACGGCAACGGCTTCTGAGTCGTGCTAACGTTACGTTTTTATAAAAAGTATGTAAGCACTTACAAAGATCGGCGTTTATACCGCATCATCCCCTTCAGATGAAGCTTGTAAGGATCTTCTGGCCATAATCATGAACTGCGGGTGTGTTTTAGTCAGTGGAGTCTGACATAACCTTGCAGCCGGCTGTAGCCTTGCAGCAGGAAACTACTTAACCCTACACTGCACGTAGCACGACACGCACTTGGCTAATTTTTCTTTCTAGTGATAGTTTCTTGAGACATTATTCTTTTTTATGTTAAAAAAGTGATGATCAAGCATAAGGCCCGCTCTGGGCATGCCTGATGGCAAGCGGCCACCATAGCCTCGGGCGCTCCAATTTGTACAGGAAATCCGCTATTCTACTAATTCAGTAAGTATTAGAAAACTCTAATTAGTTACTAGTTTTTTTCTGTATTTTTTGTTACCTACCTTTGCAACAGAACTACACTCATACGAACCAAGGAATTTATATATAGTACCTAATCTAACTATAAATTCCTTTACGGAACATCTGGTAAAGTAATTATTTTGTCGGGCACTGAATACCATAAAGTCCGTGTTGCTCTATGTTGTGAAGCTGTAAACCTATCCGTAATATATTCTCTTCGATTATTTATATAAACAATATAATTTTATGCATCTATCGCTCTCCATCAAACAAAAACACAGAAAGCTTTTTGGATTCTCTAAGCTCGCATCTTAAGGCTATTACTAAGGATAGGAATGTTTTAATAGCGGGAGACACAAACATATAGAACATAATATTAGAACAAGAAATCTAGACCTTTATTACGAACATAGAAATAGAGTAAATTATTTAAATATGCTTTATGAATTCGGTATACTCCCTGGGCACACATTACCCACAAGAGAACAGGCATGTATGGATCACTTTATGTTAAAATTGATAGAAAAAACTTACAGCAACCATTGTAATACTGCATACTACTACTACAGACCATTTTACCACTTTTATATGTCTGTTAAAAATTAAACACAATTATACATATGATAACACTAAAACTAATAGACTATGAAAAGCTCGAAACTACTTGCAGAAAAATTTAAGTGACTGTTCAATTAAAAAACTTGCTGAATCTATTAAGAATAATAGTCTCGTTGTAAAAAATCCAAAAAGCAAACGAATCATAAATCCTTGGATTACCTCAGGTATTCTTAGATGTATAAATAATAGAAATAAATTACAAAAAATCTTAATAAAATATCCACATAATAATATATTAAAAATTACTTATAATTTGATAAAAAAGTTTAAAACAAAATATGAAAGGGAACTTCTGTGCAAATCGGTATCGGGTAATAAATTACTCTGGTTTAATATATAAAAAATACATACTCTAAGCAAACTAAATCTAAGAACACGGAATTACTTACATTAAAGTTTCACTCGCTGAATCGGCAAATTATGTCAATGAGTTTTTTGCGAATATTGGTAAGCATCTTGCTCAAGAGATTCCCCCAGTTCCAAAGCATGAGACTGACAATTACCTACATATGTTAATTCTTTTGTACTCCTTGGCACTTACTGTAATGAAGGAAATAGCGTCCTGCACCTGGCTGGGATGATATCCCAACCAAATATTTGAAATTTGTGAGAAATGATGTCGTTCCCATTGTGACACGTCTTGCTAATATTTGTTTCGATAAGGGAATCTTCCCTTCTTTGCTGAAACAATCTTTTATTACTCCGATATATAAGGATGGGGACAGGGGGACGTCAATAACTACAGGCCCATATCTATACCAAGTATATTAAAATATTGGAAAAACTAATAAACACTCGGCTACTTAAGTTTTTAAATAAATACATTATATTGTCTCCCTCCCAATTTGGATTTAGGCTGGGTCTATCCACAGAAGATGCTGTAACTTCCCTAAGCTCTTTTGTAATAGAGAAAATGGATAAAAAGAATAAATTTGACAGTGTTTCTTTATATAAAAAAGCTTTTGACACCGTATTTGTGCCCATCCTTATTCAAAAGTTGCAAAATACCGGAATACGGGGTAACCCACTAAAACTTCTTCAAAACTATTTATCAGACAGAAAACAAGGGGTTAAATTGGGACAGTGCGTAAGTGGGGATGCTGAAGTGACATGCGAAGTTCCTCAAGAAAGCGTATTAGGCCCTACTTTATTTTTAATATACATTAATGACTTGTGTAACTTAGGGATCAAGAACGCTAAAATTTTCTCATATATACAGCAATCGTCTTCTCTGGAACCTCCTGGGGAGATGTAAAAAGTAGTGCTGAAATAGGTATGGCTCGTGTATCCACTTGGCTGAAATGCAACTTACTCTCTGTAGCATAATTGGTCAGTGCATTCGCCCGGATTGCGAAGGGTGCGGGTTTGAGTCCCAACCGCTGCCTGGTCCGCGTGGATTTTTTTTCTAGTAAAATTTCTCTTTAGATTTAAACATCTAGCAGTTAAAAAAATAAAAACAACTGAATATATACGTTTTAGCATTTATGACAATAATCAGCCCACAAACTGTTTCTACCTCAAGGTCCACGACTGCAGTGACCCAACAGACATAAACTGCAATTGTCCAATGATTACAAAGGTTACTAATTATAAGTATCTAGGTGTTGTTATCGATAAGAAGCTTGCTTGGTATCCTCATCCTGAGCAATTGGCTGGAAGAGTGAGAAAATTGATATGGGTATTCCGCATACTAAGATATGTGGTTCCAGGCAGTTTCAAATCTGATAGCATGGACAAAAATACTTCAAAGAATCTTTTGAATAGAATTTACGTGCCTTGGTTCAATCTCTCTTGGTATACTGTATTCCTGTGTGGGGCGGAGCAGCGAAAATAAAAGTTATGTGTTTTAAACGTCTAAGATACCCTACTGATCAACTTTACGTCGATTGCGGGTTACTCTCAGTAAGGAATAGTAGATTATTAACCAAGGGGATAAAGCAGTGTCTTCTGTCGCGGGTGACGATTTAAATCGCGAGCGTAACGAAGGACTCGAGGTGGCGAGGGTGTTAAAAACTTAAATCACTAGCGAAGCGAAGCGAGATAATGACCTGACCGTAACCTGTGAGCAAGGATGACATATGACCTATTTAATTTGGTGTCTATGAACCATGGAATCCGAAGAGGCTGACACTGTATTGTCTTATACCATATACCTTTTTGTTTACTTCTTTCGTCAAAATATTCCTTAAAGTTATTATCTTTATATATATAATTCTTCTGTGAGTGTGTATGTCACTGAACTTCTCTTAAACGACTGGACCGATTTTGATGAAATTTTTTGTGTGTGTTCAAGGGGATCTGAGAATGGTTTAGATTCACAATTTTGTCAGCTGGACAACCCCTATTTTTTTAGGGCGGTACGAAGTTCGCTGGGTCAGCTAGTAATATATAATTTTGTATTTGTATAACATTTCCGAGTAACTTGGGTTGATTTCAATTCCAATACCTTCCAACACTGCTTTTTTTGCTAATCTGTCAGCATCTTCGTTACCCCTTATTCCTATATGCGATGGAACCCATTGTAATTTCAAGTTAGAATGCTTTAACTTATGTATCTGATTTAGTATAACATAGGCTATCGGTGCTCCTCTCCAACCAGAGGCGCATCGAGCTAAATGTTGTAAAGCACTCTTGCTGTTTGCAAGAGCGGTTTTCAATTTTATCTAATTTGTATAAGTGACAATTAGAACAACAATCATATAAGACGCAACCAAAGTCAATTCTACTTCTTATTAATGATAAATATAAATTTCGTAAATGTTTGGGATGAATTCCCCGCGCTGAATCTGCTAAAACTTTAAGTAATTTTAAAAATTTTGAAGATTTTTCAACAACTTCGTTAATATGTTTGCCCCATAATAATGAACGATCTAACCACATTCCCAAATATTTGATGCATTCAACCTGAGGTAACGGCACATTATTGACACATACATTATTGTTTCCTTCTCCGACCTCTGCTGAAAAGGCAAACTTTAGATTTGTTTGCTGATAATTCTAATCCAATATTGTTAAGGCACAAAATCATAACTTCTAGGGCGCTCCGCAATTGTTCCTCACAGTGATTCAAATTTAAATTACTATTATACAATACATAATCGTCTGCATATTGGGCG